ATCATATTGGAATGCTGGATGAATAGCGACGACGAACGAAGGAGGCTGGGTTTGGTTGCAATGCCGAGCGAGTCATAACCCATGCAATCACACGATGGCCGTGGCAGACGGCGGCGATGGAACCGCCAAGGATGCGACGACGAACGAACGGACCGGCGATGAGAAGCGGCGAAAGTGGAGGCGAAAAACAGAGCTGCGCCGAAGCGAAACGAAATGCAAACGCAAATGTAAACGTATGCGATGCGCTGACGGAGATAACACAACACAACGTAAAGTTGTTTCCACACAAGGCGATCAACGCGAGAACTTGAATGGATTAACACACACGCGTGAACGTTTGTGCGCGACAATGAGAGCGCAATAGCACATGGGATCGAAGGACAGAGACATGTTTCGAGGTTGTAAATTCCATATTTCTACATATATTTTCATCAACTAACGAAATTTCAAGCTTTGCCAATTTTTTAGAACAATTGAAGATCAGTAAGCCCCCCAGACACCCTTCGGTTCACCCAGGGTCCAGGGTCCCCCGCCTAGGCTTAAGTTGGTCAACCAAATTCTTTTCACCTTCTCTATTAGGGCGTAAGGAGAGGGAAGCATCACGGCAGCACTGAAAGTCGTAGGGAACCTCTAACGAGAAAACTGGGCGAAACTATTTTCTTTGTAGATAATTTTGAATTTTTCTAAATGTGGGATAGCTTCGTGAAAGAGTTTTCCTTTCTTTTTCTCGTTCTATCGTTCGCGGCTCGCTATTTGAAAAGCATTCCTGATCCTTAGAAGGACCTCATCATTCAAATTTCTCTGTCGTCCCCTACCTCTCCCCAAGCAATTTCTGTTACCGCCACCATGTCAGAGATACATTCATTTCCCAAAATGGAGAACGCGCTGTTTTTTTAGCAAAGGAAAATCTAATGTGATCTAATCGTGCTATTTTCATTTTATTCTACTTTTTAAGTTTTTGTGCATTTATTATTTTGCATTTCAAGATCAGTGAATTCATATTTGACTTATCAAAGACTTTAAGATGAGAAGAATTTTACTAAATGAGTATAGAAGTACAGCTAGGCACAGGTTTGTTGAGGAAGTGCATTACACGAGCGATGAAGCTACAAGTGTAATGACGGAGAAAAAACGATCTCGTAGGTATGTGTTACACTACACGATAAAAGCTCTGCACAGTTTAAGGTGTTTTTTCGCAAGTTTATCAAGGCTTCAGCTAGTCCTTTGATCAAAAGTGTATATGTAATCAGGCGTATGGACGCTTTCGGTGATATAAAAGTGCATTTCTTGCAAACTCTAGCAACTTAGATTTCACTATTTTTTCGAGGCACAGCATCCGTCAAAGTAACATCGAAGCACTTCTCGATTACCTTGGCTGAAGTACCCTACCAAGGTCTCGGTAACCTCGAAAGTGCATGAGGTCATCGACAGCGCGCGAAATACGAAAATTCGAAGCAAAAGCGAAAGCAGACGCGGTTCGAGGTCATCTCATCGCTATTGCATTACCGTTCGCTGGAAATGGAATGGAAAGAAATATTGGAAAAATACTCTGCTTGGGGTGAATTGCTGTTTGGTTGAGTTATTGCATACGTTAGAAAGGCAAAGAACAGTTATTTTTCAGTAATTCAATTTTTGCAACTTCAAAACCAAAAGTCAGCGTAGAAAATTTTCTCGATAAAAATGTCAGACAAATTGCTCAAAAATCTATTTCTTATTTCATTTGTAAGAGTTTAGGAATACGGAAAACCTTCAATGGCTGAAAACTGATTCAAATCTCATCATTTGAAATGAAAAATTTTGTTTTTTTTGAAAATTTCAAAAAACGAAAGCCATCAAAAAAGGAATTTTTAACTAATGTTTCCTACATTGTCGTTGAAGGAGGGTTCTGTACCTAGATTAAAATACATTTCAGGTAAAAAAAGGTCCTTCACCTTTGAGTAAATGCGTCATAGATGTCAAATCGTTCTGATTTGATTGGCGTTCAAAAACAAAGAACACGATTTTTTAAACATTTTTTGGTATTAAAAGCACGTAGAAAATCCAAAATTTATGAAAAGGCGTTATGGTCCTTGATATAATCACATCGATTATATCCACCTTATTGGTGACATAGTCTCGAAGAGATGGTCATTGCGCAATTACGTACAACTGCGTTCGCCTCTCTATGAACGAGCAAACAAAAACGTTGCACTTCAGAGCTATGTAACGTAGTCGATGGGCACTTTTATGAGGTAGATTTAGAGCGACATAAAGTGCACTCTGAGATCTGCAAAGCGCCCCGTGAGGTGACTGCGAAAATGCATTCATGGTGGTTGAGTTCTAATAACTTTTGGTGGATTCTAAAGTGGTGAGAAAGCTCTCAAAAGACTCACTAACAATTAAATTCGCATGCAAAAATACACAAAAAAAATTTTGACGGTTCCCACGTTGTCTATTTCTAATGCCTCAACTCTGTGACAAACGAGAAATATTCAATGTACTCCCTTGTCCGTCAAGCCAAAAAATAGAAGAAAAGAATTTGAATTTCAGATAGAGAATATCGGAACTTCTAGATGACAAATCTATAGCATGTTGTGCTTATCGCATTCAGTTCCAGGTGCACTTCAAGTACATTTTTCAGCTGATTGGAATTTGCCATTTCCGAGCCGAAATGAGATAACCTATAGAAGAAGATATGGTTGCAGCGTTCGAGAAAAAAGCTAATACGTAGTACATATAGGTCTCCGAGTGGGCGCAGCTTTGCTAGAATAAGAAAAAAATTATCTGAGCTCGCTATATCACCCATCAACTAATTTCTAGCATTTCTTTCTCTAGTTTTCATAATTTGAAGGTCCCATGCAAATGTGGAGAAGAGAGGTAATACTAGCGGTTATGGCAAGGTTGTGTATGGTATCCAATTCAATGTGTCCAGAATTAGAACTAGAAAAACTAATTCATTTGTACAGAGAGGTCCTTACTAATTTTTACTCTGAAATAGATCTCCATAGCCAAAATAAGAATAGTTTTCACATCCAGTTACGAATATAACCCATGATCGACCTAACCTAGGTATATGCAGTGATTATTCAAAAATAATAGTTCAACAAGATTATAGGTTGATATTTTTTTGAAAAAATAGGTCGAAATGCGTGGTCAGCAATGCACCATTTCAATCACCTGGCCCACATTATTTTCCTAGAAAAAGTGTATGACATTTCCAATTTCGAAAAAAGAGCCTGGTATTTAGCTGAAAAGTATGCAAGATAAAACACCACAGTGTGAAATCTCTGGGAAGTATATGGACTAACCAGCAAACGTACTGGCGCATCGAAACCGACACTATTGGGAGAAGAGAGTGGCTATGCTAATCGAGGTAATCAAGTGGGGACAGCTGCAAATGCGCGCGGAGCCAACTAAGGAAGGTCGCACACACGACGACGGAGGAGAAAAGGGCAAACCGCCTCAGTTCTCCATCCACCATGCATATATGAGCGATTTTCGGCAAAGTTTATGCGCCGAGGTAGAAGACGAAAGTATTGGCAGGTTTATATGTAAAAAAAAGTATGGCGTAAGGGATAAGACTTTACCAGGAATTTGGCGTTGAAAGGAGTCAAAAAAGAACAAATAGCGCGCTATCACCAGAGCATTCAGCACCTTAAATTTTGAACAGAATATTAGTTTCATAAATAAAATGTTTCTGTGCAAAACGAATTGACTGAACTTCTCTCCTCATTGAATATCCTCATCTATGGTCTTTTGTGATTTTTTTATGTCAAACACTTTGATATGGCGGGATCAACGACCTTACGCTTCAACAAAATCGTTTTCGCCGCGAGTCTTCAAGGCTGTGAGATCGTTTGCACATTCCAGTATGTCGGAGATCACATGGTAAAATCGTGACATTTCCTAACTCTACAAAATTGTCTCACCATATCAAATTGGTAGCGTTAGAGAATTATCTTACAAAATTCGTAAATTGTTAAGAATTGAAATTGCTTTTTCTCCTAACAAAAGATGTAAACGCAGTATAAACCCCTAGCACTGATTAGCCGCTGTATATAACGTTATAATGTTGCTGGGCTGATAATGAAATTTAGTGATTAGCGGGGGTATCAGAAGACCAGACGAAAACTGGTCCCCAATAATCATGTCAATAGATTATCAGGAAAGCTCAAAATATGGCATAATTGTCTCCATAAGGGGTAGAATTGGGCTTTATATTTATGAGATGGACATTAACATTGAAACAATGGTTCCAAACTAGGGCATAATCGTACAGCAAATTAGTCCAGATCTTTCATTTCGCCATATTGACTGGGAGCTGGTTAACTTGAATCTGGCTATAGTATCTCAACAAAAAACTAATACGGTCAGAATGAAGCTGTCGTTTCAAACAAAAAGGGAGATTTATTCCTATAACTCTTCAATCTGGGCACGCGTTGACTACTAACGGCAATTATAATTCGATTAGAAAAATGACCAACGACTCTGGAAAGAATTAACAACCCCGAGTTTCAAATTCGAAAGAGTGGGGCAAAACCAGATCATAGGAGGTACAAAAAACGATTACTGGTCGCCACGGTGTCACTTCAGAGTAGTGCAGTAAATCCAGTGGTAAGCAAGTGCGGCGCGATAACGCGAGACAAGATGACCTGTCCCGCAATGAGCCGGTGATCCGTCAGAAACGATTATGCAAATAAGGCGCAAGTGTATGTGTGTGGTGTTCCGCGTAGCCTCCGTGAACCTCATCTCGCAGGCGGAGCGCGAACGGAAAAACTGCACTCATTCGAGAGATGCACAGACAGTTCAGCAGAACGCGCACAGATGTCAGCTGATGAGCTTATATAGAGAGGGTTACGAGCAATTATAACGACGACGTGAATGCGAAATCAGCAGTAGCCTTGGCAGATCGTGTGCTGTTCATTTGGAGCCCATAAGCAAGCCACGCAATCCTGTTTGAGAGCTCATGAAGCGCGATAAGCAGTCCGCTTGCTTTCCGTGTGAAAATCAGATTAACTCACCGAATTGAGTGACGTGCTTGGAAAGTCTCGCCAGGATATGATTAGTCGTTCTTCAGCCATTTCTGAATTGATTCAAGTTGAAATTAAGTTATCAAATTGTCTAACATTCTAAGCGCATTTCGCGACAGCATAAATGTAGAATGCAAAAGAAAGAACTTGTTTGAGAAAATTCAAAAAAGAAGCGAACAACAGTATCCACCACAAGAAGGAAGGATAATAATGCAACGAGTGGGAAATTTATTGAATGATAGTAAAATTATCATGGTGGAGAAAACAGGGAAAACGATAAAACTACATGAAACTATTCAAACCTCAACAGGAATAAACCGTGGAGGAGACGAGAACGGAGAATTTGAGCAGTTATTAAAACCGGAAAAATGCAGTTGCTAAAGAAAGATATTCAACTCTTTGTTTCTGTTTTTCTTTTCCAATTTCCGGGTCGACCTGATTTAAACATGTACTGTATAAGAGCTATTCAACTTTTGGCTTACTTAAAATGACCTTAAGGGTTTTATTCATATTTTGTTACTTATTGATTTGGAATCTTTATTTTATTATAATCTACATCAAAGAGATGTTTAAAGTTTGCCAAGATAATAAGATAAGAATCGACGCAAACGAAGAAAGGGTCTCCAAGCATAAAAGAAAGACCTAGAGAGTATAAGAAAAGCAGTTTTTTGCACTTAAATATTTGTGGAGACATGTAGCAATAGTAAATTAGCCATAAAAAATAGGAAAATACACAAGATCTTCTCTAGGACAAAAAAGTTACTAGAGATCCTCAAGATTAGCAAGTAGCTAACTAGAACAACTCAAGAACAACCGAAGTAATCAAGTCAGCAGTGGCTCACTCATGGATGAGGCCCTATTCACTGAGGGCTCCTCCCGGCTGAGGATCCACTCGTCAGCTTTAATAACAAAGGTCAGCGGGCGGGTACACACACACACACAATGCTGAATGATATAATCATCGCTCGTATACGATGCAGCTAACCAGATGTTCAGTTTACAACGAGCAAATCAGCGTTTCGTCTTCGCAAACGCTTCCGTTTTGGCAGAACGCGCATAGAAGACTGGGCAGAAGTATTAGGTTGTCTTATAATCTTTTCCGTTTTTATTCTAACCTGCACTAAGTCATATTCTTTTTGATCTCGGAATAGATCTGAAGTACTATTTGATAGCGCAAATCAGGCTCTACAAGATAGCATCCAGGCATTTGCAAAACGTTCGTTCCGCACAGAAATGGAATACAAAATCTAGGGTTTCAAATGCCCCGAAAAATCGAGGAAGAGTCGTGACTTTGTCCAGATGATTTCTACGGACAGCTTGCTCACGCTTATACTTTCTATGTCCGGCATTCATATGCGAATTCGCTTTTTTTTTTCACGGCTAAAAATGGAAAAGATAATTTTCATGTTTCTGCCAAAGTAATGCGGAGCTCTTATCATAAAGGTAATTCTACAGGATGAAGCTTCGGAAATATAACCATGCACATTCAGCCTTATACAAGCATTAGTTTTCGAGAAATATGAAACCTAGCACAGAAATCTCGAAATGGGCGACTTTCGAGTTTTTTGTTCATGTTAATTTTTTAAGTATTTGATTTTTTTAAGAACGGAGGAATCACAACAATAGTAAAAACCAACGTTATATGTCTGAGCTAGGCATATGCATTAGGTTTTTTCTGGAAAAAAATAATATTTTTTCTCGATTTTTCGGGCATTTGAAACTTTTTAGATTTTGGCTTTGAACTTTATGTGATGCCGACCTTTTGCTAGAGCTTGATTTGCGCTATCAAATGGCATCATATCTATTTTAAGATATAGGGGACTGTGAGCTTTGACGAGAGCTAAGAACGAAAGGACATATGAGACAACCCAATAGAATAGAAGAAATGATTAAGCGCTTTTTCGAAAAAATATGACCCGCCCAAATTTGACATTGGCGAACGTACACGAAACAAGCAACAGTTGTGATGAATAAGGCTGGGTCATTGTGAGAACGACAACACAGACACGCATCCGATGCCAAGCACTTCAGATGATGCAACAAGCGTAGCATAATCATCCGACGACCCCAGAAAATTGTCGGCCAGGAACAGACACTGCAGGGGTCACCGTGATCTGGTGCTCTTGAGATGAGCTACTGTTATGAGCGCTTTTTTTCTTGATGTGGAAATTGGAAGAATAAACTGCTTGAAATCGTATAGGATAATTGATAAATAATGTAAATCAGTATAAAAGTAGAACACTAGGATACAAAAGCCTTGCATATTCGTAGTATATACCTTTCTGAACGATTTTGTCCACTTCAACATCTTGAAGAGAAAAAATTAACTTTCCCATGATGCTCAAAGCAGAAATCATTCGGATACGGCTACGACGCAAGCAGGTAAAAGGAAACTTTGAAATTGTGCTTCCCAAAATCGGTCGTCAAAAATGCTAAGTGGTCCAGTAGAAATTGAATTTATCTTTGATATAGCTTTCATGACCCATTCTCCTAGAGAGCTACTCTTGGTGATCGGTCCCCACAAATCATAGGATTTCGACTTTGACTTTTTCACTTTGTTTTGGTCAGGTATGATATAAAAATGATACAAAAACATGTTAATACTGGTGTTAGGAACAAAATTTCATACCTACGATGCAGGATTAGCCTACTAGTAATAGGTAAAAATGATATATCAATGTTGCTGAATTATACATTGAAAAAAAATGTGATTTAATTTGATTACGCGCTGCACAAAACCTTCTATAAGACTTTGAGACTGCAAAAAAATTTATTTTTCTTGTTTTTAGAACGGGCAAGGTATGCGCAGTTCAAAGATAATCGTATAATGCTTTGAAAGAATAAGTTGAAATTGAATACTGATGCTATGGGAGATTTTACTAGCACGAACCAAAAAATTCTATATTTTTTTTTTACTTGTGAAGGGCATCAATCCTTGCCAGACGCAGATTCTATCAGTAATCAAAAGAGAAAGTCCAATAGAATTGGTAGACATTGAAACACTTAGAATCACGGAGGAAATTAGGAAGATAGATGAAGTGACTAGCATGAGACATTCATTAGCTACCATTGGTAGCGTGATGATCAGATTAAATTTGCAGCATCCAGTGCGTCACATACAACATCAAAGACGTCCTAGTGGGCAGTAAATCGCCCACTCATGTCCTTAAGAAAAATAGAAGGCCAAGGTGGCGAATTAGACGCAATTAAGCGACCCAAGTGTCATTAACAACAACTGACGGACACTAGCGATAACTCGACCTTCACTTATGACGCGGGTGAGGATGCATGACTTGGTGTTGTTGCTGGGTTGAAAGGCATGTCAAGCTGGAATTTGCATAGCATAGCAAATCTCAGCGATCTTATTCAAATGAGTTGCTTCTCAAGTAATCAGCCGTTCTAAGAGCTTGAAGTATGCTGCAGAATTTAAATTCAAGCTCTGATTAGCAAAGATCACAAGGAGAAGTAAGGCTCAAATTTTACGGAACACAAAATTATGAGTTATTCGAATGCCAAGGCCATTTTAACTGTTACGATTATGTTCATTCACTTCATTCATTTCCAGCTACTCGACTTTTGTCCACAAAAATCTGGTTGAAATTTCGAGAAAAACTTTGTTGTGCATTTCTAACGATGTACCCTCTATTCTCTCTTTTCGAAAGGGCAAGATCTCATTTTGAATTGAAATTTTGAGGTAAGAGATGCTCTTGAAATTCAATCAAAAATTATCCGTTTCACCAGGCAATGCTAAAGAGCTTTACGCGCAGCATTCAACTGACTTCCAATATCATACAACCGATGAAATTTTTGATAGATGGCGCTCTGTGTTTGAAAAATCCCTCTTGGAGAAACAAAAGGATTTAGAAAGTCATGCACCTCTGTTCGTAACTCTTACTGGTTGCCTGTAAAATGACTAGTTGTGAATCGGATTGCAATTACCGCTTCACGCTCTCTCTGGTAAACCTGTCTTTGGAAAGATGAAAGGCATGAGAAGGCATAATTAGTTTTTACATGATGGACAGCGGTTGCTTTCACTTCAGCATGTCTTTGTCTTATGACATCGGTAACTTTCACGACTGTAAAGTAGTACATAAATTTTTACTTGCACTAGTCGAAAGCTGGATTCTGAAGTTTTGCTTGCAATACTATTTAGCAAACATCATGAGGAAAGATCACGCAAAAATTTTACGGAACACAAAATTAGTTATTATTTGAATGATTATTTATTAGATTTTATTAGAATCAGAAAGTTATTTGAATGCCAAAGTGATTTCAATTGTTACGAATTACTGGTCTGGGCAACTTGTTGCTGTTCCGTCTCCTCTCACAAAAAAATTATAAAATATTTTCAGAGTGGTGTATCGAAAATTGGATAGATATGGTGTGAAGTTCGCGAGGTAACACCTGTCACTTTTGAATGATTTGAGCAAAAATGTATTTTTTGAGTAGTGTTGGAAGCTCATTATTGAGAAATAAGGTAATGCAAGGTAACACTACCACTCCTCTTCAAGTGCTTACTTTCAAAAATGCAAAATACCCAGTTGTGGGATTTTCGTCAAGGAGCTTTAACGCTTTATAGAAGACCCTCGAGGCCTCATTGACCATGGTGAACGTCGCTAATGACCAAAATGACCAGTACACATCCTCATCAGATTGTCCGCTATCGATCTAGGGCAAGGAGAGCAATGAGGACCGTAGACAATAGAGCAAATGATATTCAGATGAGAGCGACCAAATTGGTAGTTCGCGTTAATCGCCGCTCGGCCGGCCGACTTAACACCATTTCCTATGGGAAAATGTGCCATACTGCTGGTGTTTTGAGTGTTGGGAACGAGGGAAAGCAGAAAGCACCTATTTGCGGGTAAATAGTGAAAGTAACCAGTCGAGGAGAAGTTTTCGGTAGCTGTCGAATGGCGTCATAAAACCGGGAACAGCAAGCGGTGAAGAAGCAAATGGTGCGAACGCAAATGAAAAGAGACGAACAGGCGCCGGAGAAATTCGACACTTGTCATGACTTTGTGGTTACCACAACTGCTCTCGAAATTCTTTGC